TCAGCCTTGTTACAGCGCGACTCAAGAGCTCCAGACTTGAGTTGCTGCTGCGTGTACTCCCACAACACCAGCGCAATCACTTACATGCACATTAAGTGAGCGCACCAATCTCCAAACTGCGGAATTTCAACGCACACGTCAACGAGTTGCAGTATGTCCACGGAAATTCCTTCCTTCTCTCGACCTAAGACAAGCACCATCTTGCGTGGTAGTGGCTGTATTGCAAGACTAACACTGGAACCTGTTTGCTCGACTGCCACGATGGTGTAGCCTTCACTCTTCCAGCGTAGCAGCGCCTCACGCAGATCATCACCTTGCGGTCGAACTTCTTCCAGTGGCATCCACTTATGAGCCAGGCAATTGACGGTCGCAAACGTGTAACGTCCTGCCCGTCGCTCGCAGGTTGGGCACGATCAGTTTCTGAGCATTGAAAATCTCGCATGTTCTTGCAAGTCCTGCGAGGTTTGGAATTTTGTCAACCAAGCTTGCACATGAAGATGGGGGCTGCCGCAGGCGTTGGCGAGCGTTAAGTGTGCCACCTCGCTGCGCCGCATCAAAATTAGCTCGCATTGCAGTAGGCAGGGCACTGTCCTGAAGCAGCATTGTCATCGTATCAATTTTACGTTGCACAGTGTGAGCTCCCTTGCAGTTCCGGTCTCAGAGGTAGAAGTGTTACTTTTGTGATGGAGCTGGAGCAAAATTTTCAATTTGATACTGGGCGTAGAGTTCGTTCATTACAGTTTTAAGCCGCTCACTGAAACGGAGGGACTCGTCGCGCGGCAAGAGCTCTAAAACTCGTTAATAAATCCCGAGCAGAGCACCCCAAGTAATGAGCTCTCGTAGTCAGGACGAAAGTCCTCCAGTTGGCGCGCTGCCGACGCATCATCCGTTTGCACCTTTATTGTTAATTAGATAACGTACGGTGCCTTCCAGAAAGCGAAGGCCTGGCGTATTACCAGAGCTGTACTGAAGCTGGTGAATATGGCGAGGAAGAACCTGGCCAGCAAATATTGGGTCTAAACACGCGTGTGCCCGTGTGATGAGTTTAGCCACGGCAACATCGTTTCTAGCAGCTCTCCATAATCAACATCAAGATCGATGTCGTCTAGCTTGTGGCGAACGAGATAAGCAGAGACAATCAGCACGGAAGCAATTCCACTCTGTGGCATCAAATTAGAATCACATAGCATCGGAAGTAAAAGGCCCGAGCAGATCTCACGTGAATACTTTATCGCCATTCGCATTCCAAAAGCTCCATGTAGTACCGAACGCTGGGTAGTTGAGGCACTGCAAACGCAGTTTAAGCTTGGGAAGTAGCGTAGTCAACTGCGATTTCGTAACATGCGCGCTGACAATACAGAGCGCTGCCATGATCGCAAACTCTTACCAAACCCATTGCTGTTCGGCATATGCTGCTCCGCCATTCTGGCGTCACGTTAAGCTCAATGAGTCGAAAGAACAACGCATCCATGAGGTTCTGGGTGTCTGTAGTAAAAGCGCTACCGTCAACAACTACATCAGCCAAAAGTTTAGCACCACCAGCCGCACGAATCGGTCCTTAGCATGGCTTTCGATTGCCGCTGTCTTGGCGTTGCTGTAGCTAATTGGTATAGATCCTTGGAACCACTGGAACGGAGGCAAGTGTCCGGTGATAGCTGCTCTTTTCGTCGATCACTGGTTCTTTGTAAAGCAGTAGTTCGACAAGTTCATCGGCAAAGACAAAGCTGATGCTGGCTGTGCGCGCCATGTCTGGCACAAGCGACAAGCCAGGTGGAAAATCACATTAGGCCTATGTCGAGAGCCGAAGTGAATAAACTTTGCAATCCAGGCTTCATTGTTCCCTTAAGCTCGTGACGTAGGAGAAAAGCCGGCTGAAATACGCAGGTGATTATAGCCGGGTAAGCGAATCAGGTTTAGCTTTGCTGTCGGTATAAGCCATCCAGATGCCCTCAAACAAACCATCAAGTTGCTCGACGACATTTGGGCAGTTTGCTGCGGACTGGCCACCAGGGGGAAAGTGTAAGCGACAATACGTTCACCATTTGACTCAAAGCTAGAGGGTCCATCCCCGCCGTAGGAAGTGCCTCAACACATGCATCGTAGGTAGTTTTCAAAGTCGGTGTCAATAAACGACGATGATCCATGACGTTGCAGTGCAGAACCCACTTGTTGGTAGCCAAGCCAATAGCACATTTGCATCAAGCTTCCCACTGTTCGCTGACTGGTGTCAAGAGCAAGTAGAAGCGGGAGAATGCGTTCGTTTTCAAATGCAGGAAGAGAGTCTACAGCAGTAGCATTTGACCTGCGGATGGACAAACACTTTGTAGCTAACGCCAAGTCATATAAGCTGTGATTTGCAGTCGCTGCCACAATTCGTTTCAACCCTTCACAGACAGCATTCAACGCAGACATTTCGTTCAACTTCTGTAGTGTTCATTTTGTGTGTACTCATTCGAGATAAAAGAAACGCAGCGGACTCCACGAGTTTCATAGGGTCTTCTCTTTTCGTGATCTCCACATTCCAGTACATCAATGTCCGTTGGTGATGGTAATCACCTTATCCAACCAAAGCCGGACTACTTTCATGGCTGAGCGAAAAGATATGAGCAATTAACTTTTCCGGAATAGAAGTCTTTGCATTGGAATACAAATGTGAAACTTGCGATGAGAGTGAGGCGCAACTATCCAAAAGTTCCTGGATTTGCTCTTCAAACTTACAACAAAAAGCACAAGTAGAGTACTGTGCAATTCAAAATCTAGACTTGTGGGCAGCAATGCACTCAGTGGGGTACGGATAACGACTTTCACATTGCTCTGATGTCCAAGATGTTTGTCGGTAGGTTGAGCATTCGAATGGCGTGGCTTCAGCTGTAAAAGCAGCAGCCTCGACAGTTGAGGGGGACTGAGCAAAGCTCCTTCTGGAGTTTCCTTTCGCTTCACAATTTAAGTATGCTTGAAGTGCAGATGTCAGAGCTGTCAAAGGGCTAGACGATTTGCCAATGGCAGTGGGAGCTTTAATCCACGCCAGAAGCTGCAACACATTCGCCATCGTCAGCTATCAAACTATAAACAGGAAAGACACAATGGACACGTGCTAGTGCTGACAGCGAAAGTGTCGACGCACTAATAAAAGCCTCCGGCAAGAGCGTGACTCAGGGCACGAAGCATCTTGGCTCGCGTCGCTGCAAAAACGATTGCATTGCACGAACATCGACCAAAACCGAAGCAGGTCAACTGCTGCCTCACTAAGCAGCATCTTTGGCGGCGCGGAGGAGGCAGCACATTTCAAACGCGGGAATGGAATACTTGCAGCATGCTCAATAAAGCATCCGGTGAATGGCTGTTAGATGCTTCGCCAAAAATCGCTTCATTCACCGCAGCAACAAACTCATCCAGCACGTGCACCTGGTCATACTCTGCAAGTTGGAAAACAAGAAAGGATACCAAAAAAGTCAGCCACCAGAGTCTGGAAACGAGTGCGATGCGCGTGTTTAAAAAGAACCGGGCCGGGGTGGCAGGCACGCAGCAAGTAGTGTCGATAATAAAGCGTTGGAAAGCAGAGGTACATGCGAAGGAAGTGTCGCGATCAACATTCTGCATAAACACTCATCTGTCCTTCCCAGACCTGCCAAGCTCCAACGCAGGTTTCCATAAAGTTTGAAATGAAAAGACGTTTTACGACAGGGTTGTCAGCGTGCAAACAACCGCATTAACAGACTCTGCATCCAGTCAAAAGTCAGTCGCACCGGCCACTGGTCACTTTTTTTCCTGTAGCTGTGGCTCCAACACATTTTGAATGACAATCAAGTATTTTGTCAAAAGCCCTGCAATATGTGGCCAAACTTGTTCTATTACCATGTTGTTCGTGTGCATTTGAATCACGTCAGATGCTGTTAGAAAGGTTTGCCACGCATCCAGCCACTCTTCCTCTTGTCTTCGTTCTAACAAATGTAACTTTTGCGGCTTCGACACCAATGCACAATGTGAAAAAGCCATTTTTAAAACATGTAGCCCCTGTTTTCGCAACAAAGCGTCCTTGTGCTACAATGCAAAAACACAACAAAAGTTAGTAGCTTTACATCACCAATAAGTTCACGTGGAGCCTTTGGTATGACAATACACACAACATACAGCAATTCATAATAGGACACAATATTGTCACGGTCCGATGGTTTTTTCCAGACATTTCCGACCATTTCCAGCAATTTTTACACATTTCTTCGTTCTTGTGACAATATCACATTGAATTTCCATCAGTATTGGCACAATATGCAACGCCAGAGCTCGTAATACCTGTGCTTCTTCTGCCATTTTGTTATTGCGTCGATACAAATTCTCCATACACTTGTCCTCGAATGTCTAACTTGACATTGCAATAACATTGCCAATAATTTACATAATGAATTGTAATAAATGGGAAACTCCTTTTCCTTGTTGTTTTCTTCACATGATAATAGCTTCTGTACTTGATGAAAGAGCTGTATGAACGTCTCGTGGCAGTATTGGTGCTTCAGCGACGAGACCAATAAAATTTGTAATTATTGTAACATTGCATTATGGAGGAAGAAGTGCAATATTTATATTGTAAAAGTGGCAGCAAGACGTGGGGTTGTTACTGAACCAGTTAACAGATGTATCATATGCTCTTCTGATTGGATGTTTCTTCGTACATATTCCTGAAGTAACACGGAAACTGATATACTGTGAAATGATACCGGTTAACGGTATTGGATACTGTCTTGAAATGATGGGGACCGGAGTTCAAAATGCCCTCAAGTGATCAGCATCAGTTTGAAACAGGTTTTTAGTTGTTCGGGTTCTACGACGAGACCTGTAGCAACTAATTCAAATTGCGTTTCCATTTCTATTATGCTTAACTGCTTTTGCTTATTGTGTAGTTGATGATACCGCTGCCACCGTATCCAGGCAGCAGCTACTGCATCTGCAATCGTATTAGTAATTTCGCCATTCAAACTGAAAATTCGAATAAAACCTTGGCGTTTTACTGTAACACGATATGATTGGCTAGCACTCGAAACAAACTGAGCATCAATTGGTCAGGATATTGATTCCAGGGACTTTGATATGTGTTGCAAACCTTGAATAACCGGTATCTCTTTGAAACTGTTTCAAAATACATACTAACGTCAAAATGTTCCGGTTTGGCCCAAATTTTGGTGCTGGTAACGTGAAATATGACGGTTAAATATCGCAATAGCGGGGCACAGGCGGCTGCATCCTTCGTACCTCTCGACAAGCACTTCCAGACGTTTGTCTCTCAAGCACGTGACCATGTTCAAGATGCAATTGATCCATCAGCTAACGCCATTGGATCTGACACTCGATGACGTGGCCTCAAAACTCGAAACGTCGCCGCTCGTTCTACGAGGATTCTGACGACGACAATAGTGCGAATCGAGCGTCGAAGACGGCGTTGGATTTGATTCGACAGAGTCGTAAACGTTTCGTAGCATCTACAAAGTCTTTTCAGGTGTAAAAACCATCCGTAGAGACATTAGGAGCTCCATGTTACCATTTAGACTCAGATCAAGAGCCACAGGATTTATTGATTCACGCAAACAAGAAGGTGTTTGGTAATGATTGTTTCCGACAGAATCAACGACAAGTGATAGAGACTACAATGCGTGGTGAAGATTGTTGTACTAATGCCTACAGGAGGTGGAAAGAGTCTTGCTATCAATTACCAGCTATCTTGTCAAAAAGGTGACAATTGTAGTTTCACCACTACTGTCGCTGATTCAAGATCAAGTTACAGCTTTGGTTCAAAATCCACACTGTGGAATTCCAGCTGCATTTTGACAAGTCAAACAGAGTTAACACTTAAGAACGCTATCACGGCAGAACTACGACGACCTGTACCTAGTGGCAAATTACTCATTTGACACCTGAGAAAATTGTCAAGTCAGACGAGATGATGAACCTTGCTACAGATTTTATATTGCAATAAGGCACTTGCGAGGTTTGTAATTGACGATGCTCACTGTGTCAGTCAATGGGGACATGGACTTTCGTCCGGAATACAGTCAGCTAGGATTATTGAAAAAGACTTTTCCAGACATACCGCTTATGGCATTGACGGCTACTGCGCCACCTAAGGTCATTCAAGGTGTGCAGCGTTCACTCCGTATTTCAAAAGGGGCTAGTGTTTTCAATGAGCTTTAGACAGACCGAATCTTACATTTGAAGTGCGCGACACAACCGCGAGTTAGCGACAAGAAGGCCACGGAGGCTCTCTACGAGTTTATTTCAACAACGTATTCGCCCCACGAGGTAGGGGATTGTGTACTGCATGACGAAGCAGGATAGTGAAGATGTGGCAAATTATCTGTTCGACCGTCAACTGAGTGCTGACTTTTACCACGCTGGTCAGTCCGCGACGGACCGACATATGGTGCAAGAAGCGTGGCAGAATGGACAGCTTAGTATCGTGTGTGCAACGATTGCATACGGGATGGGCATTAACAAGCCGGACGTTCGCTTCGTGATCCACTTCTCGGTAGCCAAGTCCATCGAAGGCTACTACCAAGAGGCTGGTCGCGCCGGGCGAGACGGCAAACCGTCGCAGTGTATCTTATTTTACAGTCCACGCGACGTGTCCAAATTGCGCAGCATCCTTTTATGCCTCAGAAGGGAATGACTAAGAAAACGCGTGCTGTGCACATGGAAAAACTCCGATCCATGGCCGAGTATTGCGAGGGACAAAACGACGTGCCGTCGTCAACTACTTATGTCGTACTTTGGCCAAACGTTTCAGCGCTCGGAATGCAAGCGAACGTGACAATTGTCAATGTGTTCAAGGCTCCAACCGTCTGACATGCTAGTTGAGAAAAACGATAACACTCTAACAATTGAATTACCAATCACCTTAGTCATTCCACTGCTTTTACACTGTACACACTTGTAGAATGTCGTAGATGGTTCATCAGCTGATCGGATCTGAATCTGCATAAAGTAAGCCTTGTTAAACTCACAGTGAGGACAGCGAGCTATTTGTGCAGCACACGAGAGAAGAGAGAGACACACAAACATCTGATCAGTCCTCACTCTTCTTTCCATAGCATAGCCCACATGTAGTAATTCCACGTACTCTCTGTTTGATCAACATTGTCCCAAGCTTCATCACCTCCTAAAACATCGTCTACCTGTTTACGTTGAAGTGGCACCTTTTCTCCACCTTATCATGAATTTGAAACAAATACGGACAGGTTTGACAGAAAAACCGCATGCCATCAGACTATAAATGGAACAAGAAGACACCACAACAAATATAATTAGTAAGAAAGAATACAAACAAGAGAAAGAGAGAGAGAGATGACGAGTTCTTTGACCCACATCTGACTCAACAAGCAAAATATTCCCACAACATGGACAAAAATGCATTGCAAAACTAAGGAATGGAAGACAATAAAGTGTCAGGACAAGTTTTTGACAAGCAAAGACATTCATGAGCCAATCAGAATGCGTTTCCTAACCCAAATTTAGAACCCAAAGTCAAAATTGAGGAACGAAAACTCAAATATGAGCTATGATGCTTGGGGATGCTCGGTCGACCAATTTAATGGCTCCATGTGTCTTGGTATTGATCTAGGCACAACCAATTCATGTACATTATTCATTATTGATTGCTTTTTGCTGTATGATTGTATTGTTACGCTCTTATATAATGTCGTGTTTTGGACTTGATTTTCATACAGGCGTTGGGATTTGGCACGTAGAACGTAATCATGTCAAAATTTTAAAGAATCGCTTGGATCGAGGTCGTACAACACCATCTATTGTAAGGTTTGATCCATTAAGTCAACATGTAGATGTTGGGAATGCTGCGATTGGTTTAGAGACAACGGAACCTGTGAAAAATACTATTCGCTCGGCCAAAAGATTACTTGGTCAAAAAATTTGAAAGCAAAGCCACTGAAGTGGCTAGAATGTATGCTTCCTATGACGTCGTACCTTCAGCTCAAGGAAATGTGACCGTACAAGTGGTTCGAGGAAATAAGAAGGTCAATGTCCAGCCTGAAGAAATTTCAGCTTGTATCCTCACCGAGCTTAAATCTTCAGCTGAAGGCTATTTTGACGGTCAAGTTAGTTTTGACAATGTGGTCATTACAGTTCCTGCATATTTCAGTGACTCTCAAAGAAAAGCTACGCTCACTAGTGCGTATATGGCTGGGTTTAAGGCTGTAAGATTGTTAAACGAACCCACGGCGGCGGCAATGGCTTACGGGCTGTTTTTGTCTGGGAAAAAAATTAGTGACAGTTTTCGACTTTGGTGGAGGGACACTAGATGTATCGTTGCTGAGCATTGAGGATGGCTTATTTGAAGTTTTGGGTATTGGAGGTGACACGAATTTGGGGGGAGATGATATCGATAATATGCTTGTAGATCACTTGCTGGAGGTGCTGTACAAGCATCATAATGTTACTCGAGCACAAGTGGGGGATGGAGAAATGGTGAGACTGAAGAGAGAGGTCGAGAAGGCAAAGATCAGACTCTCGGAAAAGGAGCAAGCGAATATTGTCGTGCATGACATTGCGGCTGTGCCCAAGTTTACATTCACCTCATGCGACGCAAGTTTGAAGAGCTGTGTGACCCGGGATCTGGAAGAAGTGAGAGGCGTTGTGTAACTCTTGCAAGTGTGGGACGGTTACTAACAAACACTTTAATCTTGTTTGAACCGTCGATGGATGCAGGTGCCTTCGGATCGTATCGAGTGTGCTCAAGGAAGCAGAAGTGAAAAATGCTGACATTGACGAAGTGATTCTTGTAGGAGGTTCCACCCAAATCCCGATTTTACGCGCAATGATTTCAGAGGCTTTTGATGGCAAAGTGCGTTGAAGTTGGCTGTACTTGTTTTGATAGCAAATTTTGGTAAGCTTACCAATGCATGTGTCCTCAGGAACTCTGCATGTCCGTCAATGCTGACGAAGTGGTGTGTGAGGGAGCTGCTATCCAGGCTGCTATCTTGAGTGGCGTGGACAAGCGTGTATTTCGTGACGTGCTTATGATGGACGTCCTTCCATTATCCATTGGTCTTGAGACGGCGGACGGAAGCATGGAGGTGATTCTTCCTCGAAATGCACGCATCCCAACGACGGTGACAAAGTACTTCCAGACGTATGAGGACAATCAGCGCGGACTCACCGTTGAGGTCTATGAAGGTGAAAAGAAGATTGCCAAGGAAAATGATCACATTTGCTACTTTAACTTCGCAATTCCTCGAAACAAGATTGGTAAAGCGGGTGAATTTGTACATCCCGTCACTTTTACCATGAATGCCAGTGGCATTCTACAAGTGCAGGCCGGAGTTCATCACGCTTCTGAGGACGCACCAATGTCAAAGGCTGCAATATTTCTCATGGTAGGCTACATTGTCACGCTCTTTGGCTTCTACGTGTTTTTCCGCATATTTTTTACCGAAAAGAGGGACATTACCACATGATACGAGTTTACGAGATGTTGCGGTTGGGTTCGAATCGACTTAATAGTTTGACATTGATATGATTTGCTATTTTATTGCTTTGACGTCCGGTAGCGTACAAGGTGTGCTGAGTTTGAAGATGCTAAGTTTGAAGATGCTAAGTTTTCATTAATGCGTTTCCACTGTTTATCTTTAGAAGTCTTCAGCATCTTTTTATCATCAGGCTTTGAAAGGTTTTTAATGGATTGTATTCGTAGTAAAGCTCTACCACATTCAAAGTTGCATCCATCCGCTTTTTTGCCAACCTATGTATCATCACATTCACAAGCAATGTTAGCAGCTAATCATATGGATTGCGAACTAGCAAACGTACAACGAGACAGGAGGTAGTCGATGTCGTCAGTGGCAGCAAGGTGCTTGATGAATCCTAATTTAAATGGGGTGCCAAGATAGCCGAGTAATCCTCTCGTTTTGCTGCCTCTGTAACACTCTCTTGTATTAAGCAAAAGTTATCAGCACGCCATCGAGAAAGCAGGAGGTATCCAGCAGCTCTTGTACCACGGACAAAGGGTGGAACTTGTGACAATATGCCCATAGCCAGCTGCGGACACGTGTGGTGAAGATCATTGTGACGCTACCCAGCGCCTATCCAAATCTACGCAGTCCACCAGCTATGTTGTCGCTCAGTACTGTATCGGTCGGTGTATCTGCACTCAGCCTGTTCGTTTTTTTCTTGTCCTGGACAAGTCAAAGAAGGCCAGTTTCTGCCGCATACGTGTCCTACCTTGACCTAACAATGCTGCGTTAATGGATGCAGGCTACGAGTTCATACGGAAGTGCAGTAATTTGGTCGGGAAGCAACCGCTCTAGTAGCCAGAAAACCAGAGAAATAAAGTCGTGAGCAGTGCTGTATAGCTCGTGGTTGTAGGTACAGCAGCAATGACAATCGCGAGTTTGTGTAGTTGCAGGGGGCACGAAATTAATCCGAAAAAACAAGCAGATTCGAAGTTTGACTGCAACCTGTTCTTCATAGAGACCGGTAGAGTGATATTGTGACGAACGTGTGCACTACACGAATGCATGTCAGCCACATTGGATCCCAAGAAAAATTTGTTTGAGATGAAATTCTGCATCGAGCTGACGAAGACTTTGTGAAGAGGATATTGTACTTGGTAAGTGCTAGCGTAAAGGGTGGCAAATTCATTTGGCGACATTCTTTTCAGCTACGTCCTCGTCGAGTTTGCAAAAGAATCGTGGCCTCGAGCTGGTGTCACATTTCGAGCAAAATTGAGGGCGCTATGCGTTATCTTAGGTTAGGCCAGCTGTACTAAGCACCTGTCAAGCGATAAGTTACGACCAAGTATGGCATTAAACACTCCGGCATTTTCTTTCAGGAACTACTGAATTACACATTGCATTGCACACTTATGGTGACGTTTGAGGAACACTGGGTGGCGTATGGCTTGGATTTGTCATGGCAAGCAACAAAGCAGTTTTAGCACGCAGTTATCTTCGGCGTTATCTTTCAAAGGAACCGTGTGTATTGCGGTGCGCTAGTCAACTCATGCTTGACTTCGATGTCGCAGCAGTGGATTTGTGGGAAGATGTTCTAACAAGCATGATGCAACTGGGCATGGTTCGATCACTGTTTATTATGGGCCCACTTCGCCGCAAAGCGTTTGCGCGATCTCTACAACAGTGCGCCGCAGGTATGAAAGGGCGTTTTGACCTCATCGCTGACCCAGCAGAGGCACAAGCACAACGAACAAATGCTGTGTGTCTCTATCAACAAGTTTTCATGATGCTATCGGCCCAGTCCCAACACTAAGGAAGCTACCATGTGCTTCGTGAAGACTTTCTATTTCAAATGTGCAGTCTGCGTTACAGCGCATGGTAACCTTTTTTCAAACATGTCCGTTTCTTGACCAAGTGGACGAACCTGCGTGTGTGATTCATTTACGGGACTTGAAAGCGTTGGCTGAGGAAGAGTGCAATGGTGCAGAAATCATAAAGCTATTGGACATTTACTGTTGCTGCGAAGTGTGCACTGCTCATCCCCACACCGCGTGCCCGTTTTGAGGAATTGATGCGAATGATTCAAGCTGGTGCACATGGGCACTTGGTGCGGTGAGCTATCATTGATATAGAAGAACGTGATAACGGACGCAGACCCAGCTGTGAGGTAAGCCACCGATGTAGCCGAACAGTAACAAATCAATTTCGTGTCATGAGGTGTGAGGCCACTGATAGATATGTAGACCAGGTGCTGAAACTAGCGCAAAACTGCATACATGCAAGTGCTACCTTTTACATTTGTGTAGAGTATGAAGTAAATAGAAGTATGCTTGGTAATCTTGGATATGGCGGACAAGTGGCGGTAATGTAGCAAACTACATCGATATGAACAACGTTTGCCTTCTTACCTTCATTAATAATTCAAACAAACTTCAAGGTCAGACAGACGCTACGTCGCACTGCTGCGTAAATTAACAGCTCTTATAGAATGCAAACAGCGACAACTTTGATTGCGCTTTTAAGCTACTGCAACTACAAGTGGAAGCTAGCAAACAAGACCAAGAGCTAATACCTAATCTTCAAAAGCCTACTCTTTGTAGTTGCCTCGTAACAGACAGCGAAAAACCATCAAATGCCTAGATTTGCCAGCTTGGCGGAAATTTTTTCACCCTCCCCGCAACGATTTCACCAAATGATTATTATAAGAATCCGCAGCGTCTAACGTGGTAAAAACTTCAGCCTTGGACTTGTACAATTCCTTCAGTTTGTCAACCACAAATGTTACTTCATCCTGCTCTAACGTACGTTTCAAGTACATTACCCACGGAGACAATAAGCGGCTCGTCAAGAAACCCTTGCGATTGAGCTGCATCAACGAAAATGCGGCTTCAGGGACTCAATCTTCAACTGTATTCTTTAGCAGCGCCAACCCAAACGCCTGGAGTTTTCTTTCTGCAAATTTGCTCGCGGGGTCTTCAATAAAACGAGCAATCTCCTCCTCGCTATGGCGCTCTTTCATGTCCTGATCAGAAGCTGATATCCATCTCGATGTATGCAGTATGCATCCCAGTCCCTGAAAGAAGATCCTCGCAGTTGGTCTAATCTTCCTTCGTCATCATGTAGTAGCTTGAGGACATCAGTTGGCTCCACATAAGGTTGTTCTGCCAAGTATAACATTTGCGTTTCCCTTATTTTTTCGGAAAGTACTTTATTCATGCCTTGGTTTACAAGCAATTTTCTCAAACCATCATCTCCAAAACGTTTCGCACAAAATATGATAGGTTCATATAGTTGTCGTCATAAATCGAAATATCTTCGTACGTCCGTCCCACACCCATGAATTAAGTTGCTTTGCAACATCGTCCTGCTGAAGTCAGCGTCAAAACGCTTCGTGGCTTCCATATCATCATCTACTTCAGGTGAGTCATGTTTTGGCCTCGATTTCTTAGAGCGACGATTCCGATAGTATTGATGTGGACGTTTCATAAATCTCCGAGGTAGTCGACCCGCGAGATCCGGATGACCGTCCAATATATATGGGTGTACACGCCTTACTTCCTCATATCGTCGAAGTGGTCGAAGCATAAAACCAGCGAAATCGACGAATCCTTCCCCCTAGTTCCCTGCAATTCGCTCCGATCCCATTTGTGACGAATCCGAGTTGGCAGCATTAGCACTTCGAAAAGATTGACTGTTGCATAAAGTCATAGCAAAACTGAAGCCGACAGCAACCATCAAAATGCTCCTGCACAGTTTTCAAAATGGTCTTCGAGCCATTCTTGCTGACAATTGTTTGGTAGCGTGAAAAATGCCGAATCGGTTATGCATAATAAGATGAAACTTCGCCTGACCTGCCAATATGTATTTCTATACATTTATTTAGTCATCTAAGCTTCTAGAGCATTGTCCAAATCTTCAGGTTGATTGCTTTTCGAAGCTTGTCTGGTCCGACCAGAAACATCAACATCATAAATGTGACACTAGTTTGGAAATCTGGACGGAAAACATCCGTATGCCAAGACTCTAATAATACGGAACGGTACCACAACTGAGTGTCTTGTGACATTGAGTTTGTTTGAAATAGCCAGCGGAGTTAGAATGGCTTTTGTGATAGCGGTTAAAAGCTGAGTGCTGCCTCTTGCCCTCTACTTGACTGCTGCCGGCAGCAACCAACTAGCAGCCATTATAAATCGGCGCATCGGTAAACGCAACAACTACTTCGACACTCATTCCGTACACATTTTGATCCTAGACTTTTTCGCTATCATACAATGTCAGTCTTCCAATGCTTGTTACTCACATCTAGAACAGACAAGATATTGAGTCAATTTTGCTGTTCGTTTCACGTATTGTATCCGCTTCTTTTCTAATGTATTTTCGTGCTTAATGTCCGCTAATACTACACAAACTTGCTAATGTCATTGCTGTACTTGCAATCACGAGCTACACGGCACTACTCACGACTTCATTTTCCTGCTTTTCGGGCTACTCGACCAAATGACTGCACTTTCCAATGAACTCGAAGCCTATGAAGCAGCAACCCACGGTCACATCACCTACTTTTGTACCCAAGGTACAGCCACACCAAATTGGTGTGGCGGGTGTGTACGTAAAAGAAACACCTTCGTGTAACCCCGTTACACCCTTCCCCACCAATCCGTGGGAACCGACGTACCCAGAATTTTTGCACTTATTGGGAGTCATCGATTTCATTTTCTACTCATTTTGCTTGCCTCGCAATAAGTGCTTGCACTTGCGAACAAAGCGTCAATGTTCTGATACTTGCTCCTTTAGCACCTGTGCGTTGCACACACGCTTTCCAAGCATCCTAGTGTTACGACACTTGCTTCTTGAGCATACAGTGCATTACACTCACGCTAAAGCATTTATAGTGTTACGACACTTGCTTATAAGCGTTAAGTGCCTAGCACTTGGTATTATTAATACCCTTTGTGTGTTCACAAACACTTGCTTTTACAGCCCAGACTAGGTGCCTAGCATTTTCTTTGAAGCATTTCAGTGTTTTACACACTTGCGTATAAGCGATTGAGCATTGAAGTGTGTAACACTTGCTCACAAAGCACCGTAATGTTAACACTACATTAGTGTCGAACACTAGCTTATAATGCACATTAGTGTCGAACACTAGCTACAATGCACATTAGTGTCTAACACTAGCTTATAAAGCACCTAAGTGTTCAACACTTGCTTATATAGCACATTTCTGCTTCACTTTAACGTATAAGCACCATAGCATCTAACTGTAGCTTATAAAGCACCATAGTGTATAACACTAGCTTATAAAGCACCATTAACTTATTAAGCACCTAAGTGTACAAAACTTGCTTATAAAGCACAGTTTGCTAAACACTTGCTTCTAAAGCACCTTTGTTCAGCACTCGTTTATAAAGCACCTAAATGTTTAACACGTGCTTGTAACGCACCT